AAACCATCAGAAACTGTGAAGCAGAGAAGATAAGGCAGGAGACAGGGAGCAAGTAAGGGCGGGGAGGTGGTGGCTTCAGGTTGGCGGGGCAGGGGGGGACTTTGTCTGAGGGAGTGACTATCAGCTGAGCTCGGGGTGACAGAAGGGGCCAGTTTTGCAAAGAGCTCGGGAAAGTGCCTTCCAGAAGCCCCAAGGTGGGCACGGCTTGGCCAGGAACCTACAGCAGAGGGAACAGAGAGGCATCCCCCGCACCGCCTTCTCTGACCTGCTTTGAGTTTTCACAAACTGTCTTAAAATCTCTCCTTTATTTTAAGTGAAAAAAATGAGAGGGAGAGAGACAGCAGGTCCTGACTCTGGGTCATCCAGCTGGCCCGGGGTCAGGTCAGCTCTTGGGCTGACTTTAGCAAGGATGTCAAGGACCCCAGGTGGGAACACCCTCATCCCCCCTCAAGTGGGGGAGCAGGGACAGGGGCTCCAGCCCCACCTGCACAGCCCAGGAAAGAAGGAAGGAGCAAGACCCAGCAGGAAAAACTGGCAGAGACATGGAGAAGTCGTCGGCCCATCACTGCCCTTGGCTGGGCTCCTGCCCTATGGAGGTGGAACCCGACATCCAGGTGAACAGAGGACCAGCCCCTGGTGGGAAGGGGATTAGTGCAGGATAAAGTGCTCCAAATGTGAGGGCTCGAACTGAGAGCAGCTGTTATTGTCAATACGATTATTACTCACCATACCTTCCTCCAGGATCCCTCCTTGCCATACCCCAACCTCGCTTCCTTGTCCCTGGGGGTAGCTGCTCCCCTCTGAGGGTCACGGAGGGCTGAGTCAGCAACTGTTCTAATAAAGAGTGTGGGAGGTAGGGTGAGACATGGCCCTGGAGCCAAAGAGACCCGGGTTCGAATACCAGCCCTGCCATTTATCAGCAAGTGACTCATCCTCGAGTTTCAGTTTCTGCAGCTGGAAAATGCAGGTGACAATTCCAGTGTTCCGAGTGAGTTAAGAGGACCGCGTGAGTGGACGCCACAGGTGTTCAGTGTCAGGGGTTCATTGTCCGCCCCTCCCAGCCCCTGCCTTTTCTGAGTCTGACTCTGGAGGAAAGAAGAAGCATGGCGTCTGTGTCCTTCCATCTGCTTCCTTCATCCTGGGGTACGTGAGACACGAGGTGGAGGACAGAAGCTGCCTGTGAGCCTCTCCTTCCTTTGTGCCTCTTATCCAATTCCAGTAGCTGGAAATTGGCCCAGAATGAGAACTCACAGGGCAGGAGGTTCTCCCCTTACTTTGGGGACTCTGTCCTGGCTACCCTGAGATCCCACCTGCCCATCCCACCTCATGGTCCAAAGTCCTATGTCTTTACCAACCTGGGATTCATTCATTCATTTATTCATTCAACAATCTATTGATCACCTACTATGTGATGGGCAGGCACCAACACTAAGGTGCTTGGCTCACAGAGGGTTCTCCAGGCAGAGTCCTCCTCCTGACCCAGCCCTGGACTTGCCCGTCCAACACCAATCCCATCAATAACCCTAACAGCCCTGATTCTGGCAGTTCTCCTCCCCTCAGGGACATTGACCTTGTCCCTTCTCAGGAGTAAATAAATCCTGAGGAATCTAAACCAATCATGGTGAGTCCATGGTGGTCTGGGGCCACCATGGTTGAACGTGGCCAGTCCTGAGCCAGAGGTCTGCTGGGTGGTGGTGGTAGGGCTTACTAAAGAGAGACACGGAACAGACAACACTTTCTCCTCTGGATGTTATCCTGCCTTGGCTTGAGGGCTGAATGATGGCTGCCATCTTGGAGCGGGAAGGGGAGCCACCCAGAGGACAAAGCCAGCACAGTGAGGGTGGCCAGCCGAGACCAGGAAAGAAACCGGTGCTGATGACATCATCAAGCCACTGAAGAGCCACCTTCCTCCTGGATGTCTTGTCATGTGAGGTGATAAGTGCCCTCATTGTTGAAACCCATCGAGTCACAGTTTTTGGATGGAAGCTTCCTGATCGGTACAAATGGGAGGGGGTGCCAGGGAGCAGAGGGGGAAGAGTTTGGGGTGGCATCCTGGCTCTGCCTTTTGTTGGTTGTGGGACCTGTGGAGGTTCCTGTTCCCATTCTGAGCCTCAGGTTGCTCTGCTGTAAAATGGGGATAATAATGTCCGTATCTGCCAACACTGATATTGTCACAGAGCCACAGAGCCTAGCACAGGGGACCTCTGATGGGCAAGTTGGGTCGCCAGCTCTTGACTGTGTGTCTTGAATAAAGGGACCTCGTGTATCATCATCTAACACAGCTTTCATGCAGAAAGGAGAGAGGAATTGGGTGGAAAGAGGGCAACACTGATTAACTATTTTCTCCTCCTGTTTCATTCTGGGGGTGACTTCAGATCTGGCCTCTGCATAATGACAACAACAACAACAGTAATAACACAGTTAATTTTGAAAGAGGGATTACTATGGGCCAGGCACTGTGCTAAGGCTTAATATGCATTAATCTTGTTTAATACATTAGCCTCATCTTCTTTTATTTTAGTATTTCCATCTATACTTCACACACGAGGAAACCTAGATTTCTTATATAAGGTCACCTGGCTGGCTAGTGGTATAATGGAATTTTTTTTTTTTTTGGCCACAGGGCGCAGGTCGCGGATCTTAGCTCCCCCACCAGGGATTGAACCTGGGCCCTTGGCAGTGAGAGAGTGGAGTCCTAACCACTGGACCGCCAGGGAATTCCCTGGAATTCGAACCCAGCACCCGTAGTTCTTTATTCCTATTACGCTCTCCAGCATGAGCCACTGAGCTTCACATGGAAGGAAAACCCCTTGGTCAGCTGTTTCACAGATGTGTGTTACGGGCAGAAGGGTGTGGGTGGCTCCAGGTGCCCCAGCCGCGTAGCTGGAAATACCGCTAATCACATATGAATGACAGATTGTGACTCCTTATATGAAAATGTTATCCATCCATCCATCCATCCATCCATCCAAAGTTAGTTTCCCTAAAAGCCAAGCCTGAGATGGGAATTCTTGTGCAAGTGAATGATTTATTGAGGGAGTGGTCTCAGGAGAAACCTGTAGGAGGACAAGGAAAACAGGATAGGCCAGGGGACAAAGCAAAACATCTAGCCTGACCCCACGAGGAGCACTGGGGCACACAGCGTGTGACCCAGATGGTCCTGCACGAGGCGGGGGGCAGTTATGCCCTACCTGGTATTATTCTCCCAACTCATTGGTTAGAGGTGGGTGGGGTGGGGTGGGCGATGGGCACGGTAGCTCCCAGCAGCCAAGGGCAACCCTCAAGAGAAGGAGGCCGATGTGAGCACGTGGCAGCCAACACCTGGCTTAGCTGGCACGAACGCCACCCGCCCCTACAACCATCTCTCCATTATGGGCTCCTTTGATCTCAAAGCATTGACTGAGCACCCATTATGTGGGGCAGCAGAGGAAACAAAGATGAAACTGATGTGGCCTCCATCTTCCGGGAGCTCCAGTCTGGTCCAGGGAGGTCAGAGCAGTCTGGACCATCATAGCCCACTCAAGCGACAGCTTGGCAAGTTGTAGACCCATACAGTGCTGTGGGAGCTCAAAGGCGGGAGTGAGCCCTTAGGACTAGGGAGGAAGCAGCCAGGGAAGACTCCTGTAGGAAGTTGCCCGTGGATCCCAAGGAGCCTAGCGTGGGCTTAGCCACCTGGAGACGGCAGGACAGTGGAGCATCGCTGTAGAAGCCCAGGCTGAGCAAAAGCCTGGCAGCGGGAGAGGAACGGGTGCCTGGAGGACACATGGCCTGTGGACCAGGTGCCTGGAGCAAAGGGGGTGGGCTGCTTGGTCCAGCCTGTCAACAGCAAATTGACACTTGCCACTGGCCCTTGCCAACTACCTCTACAAGGACTCAATCACGAGCTGCTGCAGCCTCTGACCTTCAACACCCCTTGAAAGGAGTTCAGGGTGGAGAGCAGAAATGAGGCCCTCTGTGCTCTGGGAAAAACTGGCAGAACAGGCCTTTAGATAGTTAGATATTTTCAGGAGAAGATTTTATGAGCCCAATACTTGCATCTCCTCAAATCTAGAAAAGCACTAAAATCCTTCACGGTGATTTCTGTTCCTCGTGACTGGCCGTAACCTTCACGAGACTAGCAGCAAACTTCTGCAAAAAAATGTGCTCGATGGCCTGTGCTCCCCCTTCACCAAAATCACATATATACTGATCTTCCCCCCTACCTCTTTGAAGCAGTTTCTCAGAGCTATCTGAGGTGCTGTCTCCCAGGCTATAGTCCCCATTTTGCTCCAAATAAAACTTAACTCGCAACTCTCATGTGTTTTTTTTTTTTAAGTCGACAAGCCCTTCCCTCAAAAAGTATTTACGGAGTCCCTTCTGGGTTCTGGGCACTGCTTTGGGCACCAGGGATGCAACTGAGTCCAAGACAGACATAAGCCATGCCCGCAAGGATCCCCAAGCTTCCAAGGGAGAGGGACACAGTGCCAGACAGTGCAGGTCCCAAACTCCGCCCCTATCCTGGGTGGTGGAGGACCTTGGGGTTTTAAGAAGTAGAGTCATGCAGACAAAAAGATCAATATCACCCTTTAGAGAGGCCACTCCAGTGGCAGCTTGGACGGTGCATTGGACTGGTGGCGGGGGGGGACCTGGGGAGGGGGGTGCCTGGAGCGGCAGTAGAGGGAGAATCTGCTGCACCTCGCCCCCAGACCCCACGCCCAACGCCCGCTGCTTTGGCCTAAACACCATCCCTGGGGGTTCCCTGGCCTTGGCTTTTCCTAAGACCCCATTCCACCCTCAGGGGAGACAGCTGCTGCCTTGGCTGGGAAGATTTAGAAGGTCCAAGAGGCAAGGTGGGGTGGTGGGGGGAAGGCCAAGACCCTCCCTTTTCCAGGGAGTGTTTTAAAGAAGCCAGGCTGGTTCAGGGGTTAGATCCTGGGGGGGGTGGCAGTGGTCCTGCAGGACTTCCGGCGCTCAAGAAGCCAGGAGCGGGGTAGGGGGCGTGGCACGGTGCAGGGGGCTCCTCCTAGCACGTGGGGGTCTGGCCCTTGCATCTGGGCCGCCAGTAGTAACGCAGGTGGTTCTTGTAGGTGTCCAGGTTCCGCTGCAGGCAGAGCACCAGCTCCTTGTCACAGGTGCACAGCTGCTGCTCACACCAGCTCCCCTTGTCAGCTGTGGGGTGGAGGAGGAGGGCACTTAGCATCTATCCCTTCCCCAGCCGGGGCAGGGGTGTCTCAGGGCCCCTGGAGGGAGACGCTGATGGCAGCTCAGCCCTTTCATGGCTTTTGGTACCCTTGCCAGCTACTCTGACTCTAGCTCTGTGACCTTGGGCGCGGGCCATGGCCTCCCTGTGTGCCATTGCTCCTTTATTTATTCATCCCTTCAGAAAACAGTTGAGCACCTATCCTGTGGCAGGCCCTGGGGGGAAAGGACTGAACAGAATGGACACATGAGGTTCACACCCCCCTGGGGAGGGCAGATATCAGAGAACCACAGAAATGAGTGCCAGCAACTGTGCTACCCGGGAGTGAGGAACAATGCAGGGGCTACGAGATGGGAAACGGGTGGGATCTGACTCAGTGTCAAGAGCCATTTGAGCTGAGATCGGAAGGGTTTGCCCCCATTCCCGAAAGTCAGGGTGGAGGAGGGGACTGTTCCAGGCAGGTGGAACAGCATGTGCAAAGCCTCTGGGGAAAGGACCACGGGGCTTCAGTTTCATGATCTGTAAAATGGGGGTAAGAAGACCTGGACCTCCTGTATAGCACTGGCAACTGTACTCAATATTTTGAATAACCTATAAGGGAAAAGAATCTGAAAAAGAATATATATATATATGTATATATAAAAGATTAAAGCAAGAAGGCAAAGCCCTCAGCACATAGTAAGTGGTCAGTAAATGTTGACTATTACTGTTTTTATTGTTAAGTTCTCAATTAACAGTGACAGCTAATGAGCCCATTCAACTCCCAGCCCTGGGACCTGCCACCTTTCTCTGTGCATGAACCCAGGGGCCAGGTGACCTGGGTTACAGCCCAAGTTTCGACATTTACATCTGTGTCACCCTGAGCAAACAGTTCACTCTAGTCTCAGTTTCCTTGTTTGCAAAATAGAGATCACCAGGGTGGTGCTGCCTCCTGGCTGGGCTGCTCTAAGGACAAATGATGATGAAAAAATTAACAGTAACGTCGATAGCCTGTGTAATTTATCGAGCATGCATCTGCAGGGCCCATTGTGTCTGCTCTTATTTTAGTTCTTGAATTGACTTTATGGAGTAGAATACTGTTATCTTCCTGAGTTTCCAGAGGAGGTTCAGAGAAGTTAAGCAACGTGTTCAAGGTCACACAGCTAGTTAATGGTGGGTCAGGGATCTAAGCTGAGGTCTGCCAGCCTTCCAGATCCACAAGGGGTCAAAGCCCCTATTGGACCTCTCCATACTCCTACCCCCATTCCTGCCTCTCCTCCACAGCCCAGCTACTGCCACTGGACACATGAGAAAAACACAGAGGTTGAGTAGCTTGTGCATTGTCACACAGCATATTAAGGCAATGCAGGCTAGAACTCTCTTCCTTGGCCTCCAACTCCAACCCTGAGGCCTGGGCACTCACAGCACTGGATGTTCCCCTGGGAAGACTTGTAGCTGTAGCGATCCAAGTGAATATTGCATTTGTGGTGCTTCAGGTGAGCGTAGCAGCAGTCATGGGTGTGGCAGCACCTGGAGGGAGAGGACACGGGGATGGTGGTGTTGATTCCTTGGCCAGCTCGGGTCTCTGGCTATCCCTGCCCCAGAGCAGAAATCGTGTGCCTATCTTGGAAGAGTCAAGGCCTGCAGGGTCTAGTCTTCTTTCTAGCTAACTCTTATTGTTTCCTGTGTACCAGGCACCTGTGCTATCTATGAATTCTCTCTTAAGCCTTTTGACCACCCTATGATGGAGGTGCTTGCATTATCCCCATTTCACAGATGAAGAAACTGAGACTCTGGGAGGTCAAGCCACTTGCCCAAGATCACACAGCCTGTAAGTGGTGGATGAGGGGACTGACCCCGGGCCTGGCTGGCTCTCATCCCTCCTCTGGCTGATCCCTAGGGTTGCTGTGAAAACCAAATGTGATCATGGCAAAAAGAGGTAAGACTTTTAAAAAACAATGTTCAACGGCACTGGGGAGTGTGTGGGTATTCTAACTAGTTTGGGGTTGAGAGTACAAGGGGGCCTTTAGAGATTCTGGGGAATCCTCCAGAAGGGCTGGGGCTGGATTGGAGCTCAGCGGAGTTCCTAGCACATAGTACCACATGAATAAATGGATGGAGAGGAAAGGGGAGGGTCCCTGGGTAGGGGCAGGGCATGATTGGGAGGAGTTACCAGTCTGTGGCATCTTTGGGTTGGCCTTTGCCACCAAATCCGCAGTGACAGCCATAGAAAAAATAGGAGAAGATGGGTCTCTTCCCCGTCACTCGTCTGATCATCTTGTTCAGGTCCAGTATCCCGCCCTGGGCTGGAATCACACCTGTCAAGGAGCCCAGCCACAAGGAGAGGACATGAATCTAAGTGGAGGCCAGTGGGCTGCAGGCCTGGCACCTGGATCAAACCAATGACCTTGGATAATAAAATGACAACAGGGCTTCCCTGGTGGCGCAGTGGTTGAGAGTCCGCCTGCCGATGCAGGGGACACGGGTTCATGCCCCGGTCCTGGAAGATCACACATGCCGCGGAGCGGCTGGGCCCGTGAGCCATGGCCGCTGAGCCTGCGCGTCCGGAGCCTGTGCTCCGCAACGGGAGAGGCCACAGCAGTGAGAGGCCCGCGTACCGCAAAAAAAATAAATAAATGAAATAAATAAAATAAAATGACAACTAACACTAAGGTTATTGAAAATATAATGATAGTTGGTGAGTGCTTACCATGCATCTTTTCATCTAGTGACATATTGACTCCATCCATCCCATGAGATAAACACTTTTTAAAAAAAAAAATAAATAACCTTTTTCTTCTGGTGTATTCTAGGGGTATGGAAAAGTTGTCAAGATCATACAGAGAGTTCTTATATACTCCTCATTCAGTTTCCTCTAATGTTATTGTCTTCTTAGATAATCGTGGTATATTTATGAAAACTAAAAACCCAACATTGGTACTATAAGTACTATTTTTAATCCTCATTTTAGAGATGAACACACTGCGGCTCAGTAACTTGCTCCAGGTCATAGTAGTTGGTAAATAGAAGAGCCAGGATTGAAACCCAAGGCAGTCTGGTTCTGTTCTCTGTCTCTGGGCATTGAGTTCACATTCCATAATAGGAAGACACCCTTCCTCTTACACTCACCCCACCTCCCCAGACCCCCAGCACAGCCTGTAGAGAAATCCACACATTAAACAGCGTGCATGGCTCTCGTGGGAAGCAGTGTGATTTAGAAATCAATGATCTTCTTTTCTTTTTTTTTTTTTTTTTTTGCGGTACGCGGGCCTCTCACTGTTCTGGCCTCTCCCGTTGTGGAGCACAGGCTCCGGATGCGCAGGCTCAGCGGCCATGGCTCACGCGCCCAGCCGCTCCGCGGCATGTGGGATCTTCCCGGACCGGGGCACGAACCCGTGTCCCCTGCATCGGCAGGCGGACTCTCAACCACTGCGCCATCAGGGAAGCCCCGAAATCAATGACTTTCATGGATATTTTTCATTTCAGTCATAATATCTGCTGGTTAGAGTTGATCATAAGGGGAATTTATTTTATTGGGAGAGAGGAATACATTATGTTGAGTTAGGAGAAATAAAATATATTAAGTCAATGAATTCAGGGGAGAATTTGGGAGAAACAGACAAGGTAAGAGGGGACTGGAATGTACCTGTGTGCAAGCTGGGGAGATGATCCAAGGACACAGATGGAGCCCAGAGTCTCAGGGAGACTGGGCTGGGGAGGCCCCCTCAGGTGACCCTAGTTTTGGAGCCCCTCCCCGCCAAGTAAATGATGTTATAATGAAAGCGCTACACTCAAATGAAGTAAGTAGTAAACCAGGGATGAGCCCCAGATTGGGGAAGGTTGGGATGGGAAGAGGTGGGGTTGGGATGAACTCATGCAGCAGACCAAGGGTTCGATCACAAGCAGGGTGCTTGCCTTGGGCTGTAGGTAAAAGTGACTGGTGGTGTCAGGGACTTGCAGGCAGGTCGTGTCCCCAGCATGTGGGAATCCACAATGCCACTGCTGTTTGCCACGGTGGCTGTAGATGTACGGGTGTTAAAGAGAAACCTTGCTAAGTTTTGACCATCCTAAGGAATGACCCCAGGCCCTCTGGAATTCCGGATTCGGTGATAAGGCACCAGAAAGCAGCCCACTGCCAGGAGAGTTAGCGTCCACCCTGGAGGCCAGCCAGGGACCTGAATTCAGAATCTCGCCTTTTTGCTGTACCTCTGTCCCCGCTAAGTCTAGCCCTTTCCATTTCAGCTTAGAAATAGCCACACAAATAAACTCACACCTGAAGGATGCAGCTGTTCCTTGCCAGGCAAACAATAAATTCAACTTTGATTCAGAATGCTTTCGGGTGGTCTTATTTCTCATAATTTTACAGTGAGGTCAACCCAGCCCTGGGAAATTGAGGAGCTCAACTTGTGGTCATGAGGGCTTCAGGCACTGGCTTAGCTTGACAGAAATACCTGCCTGGGTTACTTTTTTCCATCCTCAGTTGTCACTGAAGGGGATGGAGCCCTTTCTCCCAAGGGTTAGCGGCAGTGGCAGGAGGTAACATCACTACTATCTCGTGAATGTGCTGTGTTTTAAACTATTGCTCGCTTACTATTACCTACACTTGCTAAACACTTTGTAAACGTTTTCTCATTAGAGTCCTTCTAACAACCCAATGTAAAGGGTGCCATTGTGCCCACTTTACAGATGAGGATATAGAGGTGTAGGGGGACTTGGGCAAGGGGGACTGGGAGGTGATGGGCCAGCATCTGAATGCAGGTTCATCTGTGTATTTTATCTCTATACTGTATTGCCTCTTTGCATCTGAGAGATGAATTTCTGCAGCTTGATTGCAATTTTCCTAATGGTTTTTACGGTAACCTTGGAGATGTGTTCCTCTTGAGAATTTGGAAGTCCCCAAAATAACACAAAACCACATTTAAAAATGCAAATCCTTTCTCAAATCACATATTTTGAGATGGCTCAAGAAACAAAAACGCCAGTTTGCCAGGAACCAGATTTGTACATTTGATCTGCTAAAGATCGGATGGAAACTGCCCCATCTCCCAATGGTCAACAGAACCCTCTTCCCAGGTTCAAGGGAGATAATGAACATGCAAGAGTTCTAAAAATGTAGAGTGCTGTACATAGGTAAGAGATTGCTATTATCTGGTCAAAGGGACAGAGGGGAGCAGATCCATTTCTATAATTTGTGTCCGAAGTACCAGAGGCATCAGTTCAGCTGGACCACAGTTTCTGTAGTTTCCCGCCTTCATATGCCACACAGCTTGGCGGTCCAGGGCTCTCTGGCCGAAGCCACTGTTCCAGGGGACTGACAGTCACGGATGGCTCCTTGCAGGGGACTGCGAGGCCAGGGCAGTGAGGATCAGAGCAACAGCTCAGCTTAGGAAAGAGATATAGGGCATCTCCGCTTCCCTCCCTGCCTTCCCAGCTGTGGGTCCTGTCCCCACTTACCAGCAAACACCACCAGCATGCACAGCGAGGCAAGTCGCATGATCCCAGCACAGAGCAGTGGAGGCAGCTGCTGGAAGTCCCCTTGCATGCTAGCAGCTCTTTATATCAGATGCAACCCTACTAGATGCACGTACCCCTCCCAGCTCTGGACGAGGTCACCCATACTCTTTGTTTCCTCTTTTCCGGCAATGAGGAATTTTATTATTTTTGTTTCTAATATCTGTTTTTTCAACTTTTTGATTGCAGTAGAAACAAGTTCAGCATAGAAGATTTGGAAAACATAAGTGATGAGAAGAAATTTAAAATCACTTGTGAATCCATTCATCACCATTCTTTTTTTTAAAAAAATTGACATACAACATTGTGCAAATTTAAGGTGTACCACATATTGATACATTATATATTATAATATGAGTTGTCATTGCAGCAATAATTAGCACTTCTATCATGTCACATAATTACAATTTCTTTTTGTGGTTGGCATAATTAAGATCTAGTCCCTTAGCAAGTTTGGGGATTATAACACAACATTGTTGTCTATATTCACTCTACTGTCTCTAGGACTTATTTACTACTTGTTGCAAGTTTGTACCTTTAAACAACCTTGGTCCTATCCCTCCCCATCCCCTACTTCCTGGTAACCACCATTTTACTCTCTGTTTTTATATGTTTGGCTGTTTTAAATTCCACATATAAGTGATATTATACAGTATTTGTCTTTCTCTGTCTTACGTCTCACTTACCACAATGCCCTCAAGGTCTATCCATATTGTTGCAAATGGCAGGATATCCTTCTTATTACGGCTGCATAATGTTCCATTGTGTACATATACATATATATATATATATATATATATATATACTCACATACATGGCATCTTTATCCCTTCACCCGTTGATGGGAGCTTAAGTTGTTTCCACTATTAATACTTTGGTGTATGTCCTTCTGGTTCTATTGCTATATACATCTTTCCACACTTTTCCCTGACCGAATTAGGAAAATGTTACAGGTAGTACTTTGTAGTCTGTCTTTTCATTTACTAAAATAACTTGAACATATTTCTATGTTGTTAACTATTCTCCTGCAGAAATGTTTTGAAAGGCAGCCTTGTATTCCATTATATGACTATGCTCTTCATTTAACAAATCCCCTATTCATGGGCACGTAGGTCAATTTCGTACTCTTTTAGACCATACAGTGGTACAGTGAAAGAAATCTTTGTTGTTAAATCTCAGTTTCTGCCCAAAATTGTTTCTATAGGATTTACTCCTTAAGTGAACTTGCTGAGTCAAAGCACACACACAATTTGAAGGCAATTGACGTGTGTTGAGTGTGTTGACTACTTACCCTGCAGAAGGTCTGCCCCAGATTACAATGGGAATCCTAATGAGGCAAATGGTGTGGACCCAGCCCAACTAGGGTGGAGATGCTGATGGCAGGACACACGTGGCATTACAAAGGATGGTCTGCCACAAAGGCTCCACTGGTAACCTTCCAAGGTTTGGTGGAGAGTCCGTGAGACCAGAAATTGGGTTTCTTCCGTGCCCGTCAGAGAGCTGTTCAAGAACACAGTGCATAGGCTGACCTCTTTGCTGCTAGCTAATCAGTGCACCCAAAAAAGCGAGACACTGTTACGTATTCTCCCTCTCCCTCTCCCAGCCCTCTTCGCTCTCTCTTTTCAATCTAATTTTCCTTTGTTCCTAGACTCAGTCACCAACTGATCATCTCCTATGTGAGAAAGCAATCTGCATGCAAAATAATGAAGCAGCAAGTAAATGAAATGTCTCTGGCATATTCTTTGACACTCCTCCCCTCTGTGTGCTCAGTAGTCATTCCCTGGTGCTCTTACCAATGTGGGACCTTACTGTACAGTCTTCTAGATCTGGGGTCTTGATGGGACATAGGACTACTCCCCAGTGCCCCAGCTTCCCCCAGGCTGGTATCATTTCGGCAGGAGCAAAAGCAGCCAGGACCTCTCTCTGCTGCTTCCAGAATAGATGCTACAAAAAGTTCTCAAAATCTGCTGTCCCCGATACTCCCAGAGGCCCCGGCGCACAGCTGAAAGGCTGAGTTTGAGATCAAAGGGACTGTGTTAAAACTCTGGCTTATTCCCTTACCAGCTGTGGGACCCTGGGCAAATCACCTGACCTCATGAGCCTTGGCTTCCTCATTTGCAGAATGGGGACAATGTGGGGGCAACAGTCCCTCCCTCCTCTGATTGCTGTGGGGTTTAGGGAACACATGCACACAGCACACCGCGCCAAATCTCACCCACAGAGACGATGCCATTATGGTGATCACAACACGGGCTATGTAGTATCACGTGGAGGTGAAGAGGCTGAGAGGTGGGATTCGAACTCAGGCTGCCTCCCCAGTGTTCCAGCTGCTTCACTGGGAGAAAGCTGCTCGGCTCCGTCTTCCATTTCCTCATGTGTGAAATGGGGCAGTGATAGTGTTACTGAACCAAACTTGGGTCTGCTTGCCAGCATACAGTAAAGCCAATCTACTGACCTCGGGCTGTGGTGAACCAAAGTGCACCGTGTATTGCAGGGTGCCAGGCGAGGAGTCCAGGCCGCTAATGCTCAAAAGGCTTGAATTCCTCTGGTGGCTTTCAGGGAAAGGTTTTTAAAGACAGGGTGAGGGAGAGGGGGTTGCGGGGTGTGTGATCAGCTCATGGACATTCTTCTGATTGGTTGGTGGTGAGGTAATTGGGGGTCAATCTCATTAACCTTCTGGTTCCAATCATTTGGAGTCTGCTGTTAATCCTATCCACTCTATCATCTCAGTGTATTTTTTTCTCCCTAGAAATGTGACCTGGGTTTTTAAAAGAATATCTTCTATGTTTCTAATTAACATGCTCAAGCTTTCCTCTATCTTCTTAAACATATAGAATATAGTTATAACAACTGTCGTAATGTCTTTATTTACTAATTCTATCATTTGCATTGTCTCTAGGTCTGTTTCTATTGATTGCTTTTTTTTTTTTTCTTATTACGACTTTTAGGTCACCATTGCTCATTGTTATAGAAAATACTATGGGGAATTCCTTGGTGGTCCAGTGATTAAGATTCCACAGGGGGCACTGGTTTGATCCCTGGTTGGGGAACTAGGATCCTGCATACCTCCCAGCATAGCCAAAAAAAAAAAAAGGAAAAGAAAAGAAAGCACTTTGTCTATTTTTAAAAGGGGGTTTCTTTAAAGTAGGTTTCCAGAAGTGAAACTGCTGAATTAGAAGATTGAAGCGTCCTTAAACTTCTTCCTCTTTCTGAAATTCGTAGGAATTTAGAAACTCCCTTGCTTCTGGTTCCATCAGCAGCATATAATAGTTAGAACTGGTCATTTCCTGAGACTTGCCAGAAAGTCTGTATTTTTACTTTCCTGGAAACAGTGGGGAGAACACTTGGTGATACTATTAGGCCACAGTCCATCAATATCTCCAAGTGGTGGACAGAAAGGAGCAGGAGAGGACTTAGACACTGAAGTGCAAATTGTATTAAGAATAGTTACCATCAGCTGGGGCTCAGAGAGGTTAGAAACCCGCCTAGCGTCATACAGCAGGTACGTGGCAGAATTGGGGTTAGAATAGAGGTCTGCCAGAGCTGCCCTTACTATGTGCTGGGCACTGTTCTAAGTAAATGTAAGCAGGTAGTGCCCTAATCCCCATTTTACAGATGAGTCCTTTTACCCAGGGGCTACTTTCTTGCCCTCCCAACATAGATGGAGGTGGAAATGAGAAGAGCTGGCAGAGCCTGGAGACTGCTGCCCCCAGCCTCAGTGCAGAGAAGAAGGTGGACTCCCATCTCCTAAGAGACACCCCCATGGGTTGAGAACATGTCCTTTCAGCCAGTAACCAGCGTCCTCCACTTGATGCAGCCCTCCCCGCAAAGCCCCATTTACTGAAATGATCCCATTGCCTGAATTCCATTCATGATGAAACCTGCCAGAGGGGGTTAGAGATGCAGCTCAGGATTACTGAAGGTTTGCAGGGGAAGAGGAAATTTAAAGAAGCTGGGCTTAACTAGAGATTATCATACTAAGTGAAGTAAGTCAGACGGAGAAAGACAAATATATGATATCACTTATATGTGGAATCTAAAAAAGAAGAAAAAGATACAAATGAACTTATTTACAAAACATAAACAGACTCACAGACTTTGAAAACAAACTTATGGTTACCAAAGGGGAAATGTAGGGGGAAGACACAAATTAGGAGTTTGAGAGTAACATATACACACTACTCTATATAAAATAAATAATCAACAACACCTACTGTATAGCACAGGGAAATCTACTCAATATTCTGTAATAACATATATGGGAAAATAATCTGAAAAAGAATGGATTTATGTAGAACTGAATCGTTTTGCTGTACACCTGAAAATAACACAACATGGTAAATCAACTCCACTCCAATATAAAATAAAAATTAAATTAAAAAAATAAAAATAGGAAAACAGGTTAAAAAAAATAAAGAAGTTGGACTTCCTCAGGGTCTTCTGAACTTCATCTCTGATACCATCTGGCAGGGGGCGAGGAGGGAGGGAGAGATTTGAGATTCCTTTGTTGGGTAGTGACCCACTTTTCTCCCGCTGCACCCAAGCAGAACTAAAGTAAGTGAATTAAACAACCAGAAACCACTCGATGTCTGTCTGCTGCAGAATGGTAGATGCCGTGATTACACCACATCGACAAACCACAGCTACCCATAGCAACCCGGAAAAATCTCACAAACATAATGCTGAATGAAGAAAGCTGGACACAAAAGAGTACAGGTTGTAAGAAAGATTTATATGACCTTCCCAAATAGTCAAGCTAATTGGCGCTTTTAAAGATCAGGACAGGGGCTTCCCTGGTGGCTCAGTGGTTGAGAGTCCGCCTGCCGATGCCGGGGACATGGGTTCGCGCCCCGGTCCGGGAAGATCCCACATGCCGCAGAGCGGCTGGGCCCGTGAGCCATGGCTGCTGAGCCTGCGCGTCCGGAGCCTGTGCTCCGCAACGGGAGAGGCCACAACAGTGAGAGGCCCGCGTACCGCAAAACAAAAACAAAAACAAAA